CAGCGCCAGCCGCCGGCGAGCAGCGCTGGGCGCAGGAGGAAAGCAAGGGTGGGAGGCAGTTTCGGGCGGTAGGGCCGCGCTAAGGACGCTGTCGTCGGGTCTCAAACCTTGGGGGCTGGGAGGTTGTTCGTGGGCTGCAGCCTGGGCATTCGGAGGGCCTGGGTCCTCCAGCGAAGGGCGACAGGTGGGGGAAGAATGAGAAAGAGAGTCGAGTGAGGGAAGGGGAGTGGGGAGCCAGCCAGGAAAGGAGGATCCAGGGGATCAGGAAGAGGCTCCTGTAGGATTTAAGCCCCTACCCCCACCCCCCACCCCACCCCCAGCTGCACTCCTAGAGACTCGGATTAATTCAGGGAGCGCTCTTTGCTGGGGCCACGATTGCTCTCTGGGACGCATCCTCTGGCTCTTCCCTCCGCGTCAGTGCATTTCTCTCTTGTATACAGCTCAGCATCTTGAGGAAACACATGAAATAGATTTGTGTTCGCGTGTGTGTAAGCCATTAGCATCTATCCACCTCTCGGTCACCTCGTAACAACTTCGAATTAAAGTAAAAATGAAACCCCCAAGTCCTGAGTCCGCAGTATGTGCAGACCCCCTGGGGACCAAACTGGATTTGGCCCTGGTGCCAGGTGCCCTGCGGTCCCCCTCCACCGCCTCATCCTCTGCAGGTTTTCTTCCCGAGCAGCGGGTTTCCAAGTTCCAGTGGGGAAGGCGGCTCCACTTGGCCTTGAGTCCTAACAGGAGGGGTAGGGGGCCTGACCTTTCGGGGAAAGTCTGACTCCCCGGACCCAGCCCTGTCTGAAGTCATGCAAACGGAAGACTAAAAACAAGCTAAATGTGTTCATGGGGACATTTGTCTGTGGCAGGCACTAGTGCGAAAAGCGGGGTTTTAAAAATAACATATTTAGTCAATGAAAACTCTGGTTCTTCATGCCCTGGACCACTAACTTGTCCAAAGTTGAAGTGTATTATTTAATAAATTCTAATGTTTAATTAAAATTCAACGGCCCTGCATTTTCTCATTTCTGAATGTGCCTGGTTGTTTCTACTGACCTGGGAAAGAGACTGCTGGGTCCCTTGTAAACTATACTTACTTTACATGGCTTACATCTCTTAAAGTTTATATGTTTAAGCTAAAAAAAATAATTATTCATATTTTTTTCTTTACATTTTTTCTCCTTTTTACTTTCCTTTCAAGATTACATTTTCCCCAAGATTCTAAAATGCTGCATACGGTATTAAGTTTTTTTAAAAAAATCTTTTGTTGCCCTTTAGGTAAGGACCTTACCCTAGAAATACAGGTCATGGATCCTACTTGGCACAGAGTAGGAAATTAATACGTGCATTCCTTCCACCAACCCACCCTTTCTGACATAGTAAAAACACAGAAGCGGTGGCCAGACTGTGATGTGTGACCAGGCCTCCACACTCCCTCCACCACCATTGCCCACATGGAAAAAGCAGGGAGGA